ACTCCTTCTGATGGTGTCTGATGTCACTCCTTTCAATGAATGTATTATGAGACTCAGGCTAAGGCACTCTCTGGGTGTCTTCTCTGTTGTCTCAGTGTATGCTCTGACATGGTGAGTGATGTCTTGATGAGCAAGACATTTTATTTTTAATTTCACTTGGTGGTTGATAGGTGCTCATGAGATGACACTCTTCTGGTCTTGGGTGACTTCATTGCGACCACAGGCACTGATAGGGCTGACTATGAGGATTGTGATGGTACCTAGTCAGACAGCTTCACACACAGTCTGGAGTAGGTACTTAAAAAGGGTTCTGGAACTGCCTCCAAGGAACTACAATCTGGGCCGAGTTCCTGTGGTGTGAATGTGACCAAAGTTCTTGGGTCTGGAAAACGGTTCAACTTTCTGAAAAGTTCTTATGGTGTGGAAGGACCTATAGATCCCATGGGAAATGATGGGGTCAGCTTGTTGTGTGCTGGCAGAGTTTCTGGGGGCATAGACTCTGTTTGCACCTCCCAGATTCCCTCCAGACTGGCGCACCCCTACTAATGCATCATGGAACCTGGAGGTGCCAGTAGCTTCAATTCCCGCAGTGGTTCGCCCTTTCTGGCACTAGGGTCGACTCCCAAGACCCTGTGAACCAGGTTGGCACCACCTCCATTTGTTTCTGGGTCTCTTTACCACTTTACCTCCATGTCTCAGCCTTTCCCTTGGACTTCCGCCTACAGTAGGACTCCCATTTCTGTTCCCATGTGGTATTTCTGACTGTGTCAGTGTTATTTGTTAGTTTTAGGGAAGCGTTTTCTGTGGTTAGGCTAGTTCTTTTCCCTCTTAAATGGTCCTTCCTACAATCCCGGGCCTGTATCACAAAGCTGGATTGCTTACTTAGTTGGATAACTTTGAGGATAAGTAGCGGTAACTCTGGCTTTTAGATATTACAATGCTGGTTCCCTTCTTAGTAACTCAAGCCACAGAGCCAAACTGCTCTGGAGCAGGTTAGGTTTCCGGATCCTAGATCTCAAACAGAGCTTGGACCAATCAAAAACAAGAAGTCGGTATATTGCCAGACGTGACAAATGAGCTTTCCTAGACTCTCGAAATGGCTTGTCCCTGAGAATCTTGTGACTGAGTTAAATTTGATATTCAGTCTTCTCTGTGTAAAATCTTTCAAAAAGCAAGCTAGGCAGTTTTTAATCACAGAACTGTGATGTCCATAGGTAGAGATGCACACCGATCATTTTTGCGTTTCAAACCTTTTCACTATGTGTACTAAATCTTATCATTATCTACGAAAAGAGGCAATCTCAGCTGTAATGAGATATTGGTTCAGCATCTTCAGCTGATAGCAACTCCTGCATATCCCTTGGTTTTAAAATGACTTTGCAGAGCACAATAACTTTGATTATTTGCATGTGGGTTTCCTATTCAATAGCTGCTGGTAAATGGACACTGTACAATTATTAATAAAGATTTATAAAAAATTACATAATCTGAAAAGCAAGTAGTGTGCATTGTCCCCTATAGTCCATTGCTTAAACTACGCATTACTGGACATCTCATTAAGTCTTTGACCTGTTTGACCAGCAGGTGCTGCTGGCCATCCCCTTTTCCCGACAGTTCCCAGCGTTGGAATTGTTTAATTCCTAGTGTGTTTCTTTGCAGAATGGGCTAGAATAGAAAAGTAATAGAACACCATTGTTCTAAATATAATTAATTCGTGGATTTATGTTATTCGGTCAACTTCTTTTAGCGTCATGGTGGTATAATGACCATTCAAGGAGCCATTTTGTTTATATTGTGCAAGAAATCCATGTGACAGGAAATAATATCAGAGACAAACCCCTGATGACCTTAAATGTTAGAAGGTTAGTACTGCTCTTTAAAAAAATCAGATAACAATTCATCACAATAATGAAAATGAGTATTTTCTTGGAAAACTATGTTTTAAACATTTACACCAAGGCCTTGTGCTTACATAGGTGTCCATAATAATGCTTGTCAAATTTGATTTTAAATTGAGCTCTAATCCCAACATGATGACCTTAACCACTACCCAGCCCTAATCTTAACCATAAGTAATCAAACAAAATATGAGACTTTTGGCATCTTTCGTTTTTTGATTGCATTCATGGATCTTTGCAGGAACCTGGAAAATGGTCCCCCCCAGCATCAAAATAACAGGTTTTTATCACATTGTGGGGGGCATTTGGTCCTCACAATGTAATATAAACCTAGTCCACACACACACACATAGACCCAGACACACAAATAGAAACATAAGCCCTGTTTACACTTGGTTTTAAAATGCGTCTTGGCCGATCAACTCAAAAGTGGACAGCTGAGACACATCACAGTTTACACCTGTGTCTATCATGCATTGCCAAGGTGTACAGCTGACAACCTGTGTTCAGATTTCGTTAAGACTGCATCACTTCTGCAAGGTCAAATGGCCCTGCACACAGATATTACATAAGTCTTTGTCACCAGACAAACATCAGATTTGTTGAGCATCAATGCACTGTGTCCTGCATTGATAAGGTATTTTCCTATAACATCCTTGTTGGGGATGCATCAGTTATTAGGCCAGAATAAATGGGCTAATAACTATAACACTTAATGAGATGTCCAGTAATGCGTAGTTTAACTACACTACAAAAGATTTGTGGTCAAATGCGTCCCAGACCACCTGGGTGAGTGGTTTGAGTGATCAGATCAAAATACATCTTTGTTGTCATTTACACTTAGACTTGCTGTCCACTTGCCATCTTATTGCCCAATACACATTTTAAAACCAAGTGTACACAGAGCCTCACACAGACAAAAACATGTGGACACACACAGAAACAGACACAGACACATGGACAGATACACACAGACACACACACACACAGACCTGTACTCATATCTTTGTGGGGACTGTCCTTTAATTTCTATGGGCAAAACCCTAATCCCAACAATGACAAAATTAACCCTTACCCAGCCATAACCTTAATAATAAAGTAACCAAACAAAATGCAAGACTTTTGGCACTTTTAGTTTTTGCAGTCACAGATTTTTATCAGTAAATGTCCCCTTCTGGGGACTGAAAAATGATTGTTAAAATACCAGGTCTTTATCACATTGTGGGGACCAAATGTCCCCACAATGTAAAGTATACCTGGACCACTCATGCACACATACAAACATACACACACACGCAAACAAATGGACAGACACACAGACAGACAAACACATAGATACTGACAGAAACAGACACACAGACAGATGTTTTTACCCTAAATTGTTGTTGCTAGATATTTTTCTTAACTTGAATCACAATGGAAGATATGAATTCAATATTCTTGTCATTAGATGTTTTTTATACACTGATATAAACTAAAACAAGCTCAGCTGACCTTGTTGATTGTCATGCTGTCAGGATCTGTTCCTACCATGTCTGCCATATTCCAGTTTGGCCAGAAGATGTCGCTGGCAATCCAGTCTTGTTCCCTAGTCCCTATCCTAATGTGTCAACGTTAGTGTTTGTGCTCCCTGTTAGTTCCAACTCCTGGTTTGTCAGTGTCAGTGCTAGTGTTCTTTGTTGCGGTTTGCCCTACCTCACGATGTGTTTTTGTCAGTCCTAGCCCTTCCTAACTGCCATACCTCTTGTTATGATCCCATATTGTCCTTTTGTTTATAGTCACTTTGTAATTTTTGTTCTGAAATAGCCACCTTAAATTTAACAGCCTGCATATGGTCATGTCTCCCATCCAGTATCCATGATACATGCTTGATTTTCAGTATCAATATCTTCATTAACCAGTGGCCTGTACTGTACTGTAAAAGCAACAATCCAAGGTGGTGTAACTGGTTTGTGTCATTTGGTGTAACTAGTATTTTTTCATAAAAATATGATAATTGAAATATGATGATAATATATAGGACAATTAATGTGGAATAAAATATAATCCCCTATTGCACTGTAATGTGTTTTTAAAATAATCTGTCAAAAATTTCACCATATGTCTCTCTCAATATTGAAATAACACATGCAATTTTAATGTAAAGAAAATCCTAATAAAATATGTTTTCATGTGATACTTTAAAATGAAGTAATTGCTTTTGAGTGTATTTGCATACACTCCATGTGAATAAAATATTTAATATCTCATTCTTTTGTGGTTACACTGTTTGACTATTTCAGGTGCATTCAGTCTTACCTCTTGTAAAAAATGGTACACGTTATTGCAAATGACATGAAAACAACATGAATATGAAATGGACATCTTAACAAACCTGATGTATGCGTTTAAAACAAGTTTTTAGTACATTTTTGAATTGCTGGCGAACCCTTGTGTTTTACTGACCCATATACCAGTGAGCACATACATTTGTAATAAAGCAAAATACTTCTCCCATTCCCACGTGAGAAATCTCGACAACTCTCAGTCAAAATATTTCCGTAAGTGGAAGATGAGTGTCTTTTGGTGATTAGTTTGCTTTTCTCCTCCTCATTTTTTTGTAACATTTCTCAGAAGTGCACCGATCTGACTATGAATGAGTCCAACAGCAAAAAGGTGAACATGAAAATTGGTATATCATTGTATTTTATATACTAGCCTACAGCTGTAGTGTACACTCCACATACAGGCTTACATGCATTATTATGTAAATCATCGTTCTAACAGCAAAAAAACTGAATCTTGCAACTTCATACACTAATAGATGGTAAAGTCATCAGAGGAAGGTAGTACAGGGAGCAGCAGAAAGTTCTTGTGCAGCAGCTTAAATAAGTATTGAGAAAACAATAGGCTAGACTAACTATGAATGAGATTATCTGCTACAGGCACTTAGCATTACTTCACTTTTAAAACAGCTAGCTTTATTAAATTAACAGTTGATACGAATTGTTTGATTTCAACAAGCACTTAGATAGGCTTGGGTAGCATCAAGGAAGCTCTGGAAGTTTGAGGTAACAGGACTACCCCTGTTTGTGGATATAGTACTATGAATGTTTCACTCACCTGTTCAAAAAATTCATCCATAAAATGGTCCCGGTCAACGTGGACAACTTCCTCATCATCATCACTGTCCTTAGCCTAAAATAGGAATACAGAAAGCAAGTGTAATTCAACCTATATTCCTACAGAAAGAAATAGGTAAAAAGCTGGATCATCATAACAAAAAAGAAATAATATGCTAGAAAGAAAAGTCAACCATTCTACTGAATACTTCCTTCATCCATAATTACAGTTTAGTAGTTTATGGAGGAGGTATAATTTCTTGAACTTCTCAATGCTATTACAATACACACACAATTCCAACATGCAAATCAGAATGAAGAAAAAAGAAAAACACATGTGATCAGGTAAGAAAATGTTGTACATTGTACCAGCACTTCAACAATAACACAATACCTAATTACGTAAGAGTTTGTAATCTATCAATACTTCCAAAAGTTTTTAAACGTGTTATCCATGAATGTGGTTTTATCTGATTTGTGTTCTATGGCAAGTAATTTAAGTGAATAAACGAATAATCCTTGAATGATGAAATGATTCATTTGCCATTTGAACAACTACACTATATGAGCAAAAGTATGGGGACACGCCTCTTCATCATTGAATTTGGGTGTTTCATTCAGACGCATTGGCACAAGTGTATAAAATCAAGCACCTAGCCATGCAGTCAGGTTTACAAACACTGTGAAAGAATGGGTTATTCTCAAGCGTGGTACTGTCATAGAATGCTACTTTGGCAATAAGTCAGTTCATGAAATTTCGTCCCTATTAGATATATCAATGGTCAACTGTAAGTGGTATTATTGCAAAGTGGAAGCGTTTAGGAACAACAGAAACCCTTAGTCCCAGTGAAGGGAATTATTAATGCGTCAGCATGCCAGGATATTTTGAACAATTCTATGCTTCTAACTTTGTGGGAATAGTTTGGATAGTGTTCTTTTCTATTCTAGCATCACTGTCCATAAAGACATTGTTGGATGAGTTGTTGGATGCTAGTTTGGTGTGGAAGAACTTGACTGGCCCACAAAGAGCGCTGACCTCAACCCCATCGAACACCATTGAGATGAACTAGAATGTAAAATGTGAGCCAGGCCTTCACGTCCACCATCTGTGTCTGACCTCACAAATGTTCTTCTGAATGAATGGGTGAAAATTCCCATTGATACACCTCAAAATCTTGTGGAAAGCCTTGCCAGAGTGGTAGCTGTTACAGCTGGAAAGGGAGATCCTACTCCATATTGAAGCTATGGATTTAGAATGGGATGTCATAAAAGTTCCTGTAGGTGTAATGGCCATGTGTATAAAAAATGGTTTAAAAAATTATGGAACAGATTAAGAACCATGAAAAAACAGAATTTTGAAAAAAAAATGGAATTTGGGGAAAAAACTGATTTCATTGTTTCCTAATTCGTGAGATTTTTACATTAGACATATTTTATACTGGATAGCAATGCAGTTAGCCATTTCCCAAATTCATCACACTAACAATGAAACTGATCATATAGATTATGACAGAACCTAATACTTAGCTCAAGTATTGTCATTGAAGGTAGTGATTGCTGATATCTGCAGATATTAATAACAAACTGCAGAAGCTTTTAAAACTCTGTGAAAGTGCTGGGAAAGCAGAATGGGAGAAAGTATTTGGTTTGGGGTCATTAATATTGCTTCAGTTTTGTCACTGTTCAGGATAAGGAAGTTACGGTGGTAGATCTAACTCCAGATTTCTTCAAACAATAGCTTAGGTTCTCCATGACAGTGAAGTCATTAATTTGGTGGTGTACTGTAATGTGCCATTTTCATAGCAAATGAATATCCCAATGACAGATTATCTGGCCTAGAAGAAGCATGTATTTACTGTAAGAAAAAGAGTGGGTCTCCACACTGCACCATTACATGTGACAGCAAATATTTCTGACCAAAGTTCTTCGATAGAATGGAGAAAAACCACTTCAGAGCTATATTTTGTAAACTATTATAGTGCCTTATCATTTACAATGCGGTAGTTTTATTTACTGTGCTAAAGGCTGCTTGGAGCTCAAGAAGGACAAGGACTGAGGGAGATGAGGGTCAATGACACTATAGAAGTTCATGTGAGACAAAATATTTTCAAGTACAGTATCTTGGCAATGAATAGAAGATTGAAAAGCAGCTGTTCTGAACAGATATGGGATTTCTCCAGTCTCATAAGATTTTGTTGATCATTATCAATTTGTGAATTGAAATTACTGAGTTGGGAATGGGGTCTAAAGGAGATGTGGCCAGCATAGTTGTACTGTAGAGGACACTTTGGTGACACTTGGAAGAGGCAAACTGGAGTGGCTGGCAAGAAAATCTACTGCCTCAGTAGATTTTTGTAGAATTTTGGAGAATTTTATCCTTTAAAATTAAGTACTTACACTTTTCAATGAAAACAAAAGAGATCTATAGTGATACTGGATTGAGAAACTGATTTATGGTGATTTAATGATTAAAGAATAAGCTGCTGTATAATGAAAGTCACTGAAAAGCATGGAATGTACAGTATCACTTGATTTCCTCCATACATGCTGCAGTGAATTTTCATATTTATAGATTATATTTATTAGATTCTATTTATTATTTTGTGTTTTGGGTAGAAAATGTAACATTTTCCATCAGATTCCAATCAAGCTACAAAATTTCACCTTCAGGGAATTCCCATAGCCATCAGTGTGGAAGCTAAGTATTCTGATAATGGGAACATCACTGAGGCAGAAACTTAAGAAATTCAGAGAATCAAAAAATTCTCTTTATTTAGGAAGATGATAAGCAGAATATGACATTAATGCAAAATATGCAAAATAATGGAATCACAAATCTTAGTACCAGCAAGAGAAAACATAGAAGCAGTAAAAACTTGATACTGCTAATACTGGTAATATTGAAGATAATAATGAATATAATATTGAAGTACTCCCACACATTTTGCAGTCCCATTTATTTTGCTTATTAATATTGCTGATATGTCAATTCGTGGTAAGGGTTATTGAAATCAGCACATTGTCACCTGGACAAGTAGGAGAATATGAGTACTGTGTCAGACACACCAATACTAGCTTCTGTATCGATGCACTCCTACTTATTTTGTAATGTTAATTGGCATAAACTAATTTGAAATCTTGTTTCGATCTGTGATACAAGTATTTAATTTTCCTTAAAATTTCAGTTTTGCTTAAGTTTCAATAACAGTATAACAATGTGTGTACCTAATGTACTGTAACACTAAATTAAGCAATACCTAGAGAAAAAAAAAAAACGTGCCAAACTTCATTGGTATTTAGAATGACCATAATTTAATTACCAGGATATATGAAAATTCATTTAATTTAAATTCATGAATATATTTAATTGTCCCTGCAACACTGCATAAGTACAACAGGTATAGAAAATGGATGGATGAACATATGCAGTTGTCCCAAAATTCTCTCCATCTTCCAGCCACTTTTGCAGGGTTACAGTGTTAGCTTGGAGCCTGTTCTAGGAGACATGGGTGACAAGGTGGGGGAACACCTTAGATAGATTTCCAGTCCTATCAATCTTGCACTAGGATAATTTCCATATTTTCAGTGGACTACATTTATAGTTACAAAAACTAGGAAAGAGGTTCACAGGAATCCTTCATTAGTTATCTGGTCAATCATAACTTACTCAAGTTTGTCAGTTCTCAACAGAAATGAGGAGGTTGTAACTGTCAAATATGCTGCAGTATTTTCAATACTGGATCTATTCATTGATCAAAATACACCACTTCCTTATTTGCTGCCTTTGAAAGGCTTAATTAATATTAATTTTCAGGTGAGGAAAAATACATTATATGAACAATCTGTGAAGGCTGTTTTTACAGGTATTTCAATGTGTTAGATTACATTAACTAAGAAGAAAAAAAAAAACACTTTTCATGGCACAATTATTCAACTAGCTACAACCACCGTTTGTAGACAAAAATGCTAATGCTAGCTGACTGCAGCTTAAGAAAAAGTTAAAATAGCCATGCTAACTAAGCATGTAGCTAATTTCCAAAGTACTGTTTTGTATGTGAGGGAGCAAGAATACTAGCTCTGGGGAATTTATCGCGTTGTGTTAAAAGTGAAAAACGTTTTTATAACCACAGAGATGCTAATCTTCTCTGATTTGTTTCATTTAAAAAAATTGCCAGACAGACGCAAACATAGGATAAAAATACCATCCATCCATTTTCTGTAGCCACTTGTCCTACTCAGGGTTTTGGCAGATCTGGAGCCTATATGGACACAAGGCAAGGAACAACCAACAATGGGGCACCATCCCATCTCTGGGCACACTCACACAGGCATACCTATGGGCAATCTATTAACTCCAGTTACCCTCAGCAAGTTTTTTGGGGGGAACCTGGAGTACCCAGGGGAAATCATGACACAGGGAGAACATGCAAATTCCACAGACATGGAGCCATGGTGGGGATTCAAACCCTGGTTCCAGAGGAGTGAGGCAACAGTTCTAACTACTGTACCACCCTAAAATATCATAAATTGCAATATTTGTTTTATTTTATTGAAGGTTCATACCTTACAATTTTAAGTTTGTTCCTGTTTCCTTTTAGATGCACTAAAAGTGTTATTTGTTGCTGTGACTCGAAGATTTTATTAAACTATTTGCTACAAATAGATAACTAATAATCAGTAACACAGAACTACATAAAGTGTTTCAATGATTCAATTTTATTGCATGTATCCCACAATAACAATCAATTTGTATGTTGTTGCTCAATTTTTTGTTTTGTCATTTTTTCTCATCTCAGTAACACTGTTGGATTTGATGACATTTTTATTACAGAAATAATTGGTAATATACCGGTGTGTCATCACTTGCCCTCCGCACTGAGACTGGATAGTGTAACTTAGGATTTTGCCATCTGCCGGCTACTGGAGAACTGACTCCCCCTTTGAGTCTGGTTCCTCCCAAGGTTTATTCCTTCTAGGGAGTTTTTCCTTGCCACTGTCACCTCTGGCTTGCTCACTGGGGGCTTTAGGCAGGGATAATGTAAAGCACTTTGAGACAATATAATGTTGTGAAAATGT